TCCCACTATTCCTTTGTGGAAAGTGTTACGAATATGTCATTGTCTTACTCATTCTTTAGGAACACTGCAATCGACCGACCCTTTAAAGAAGAACTATGAGGTGAGTGAAAATCACTCAGTCTCATAGTTCGAGCCGACGTGTGATAATGAAACTGTCACACGTCGGCTCAATAGATCGGGAAGTGAGCGAACGCATACAGTAACTCCTCAATCCTGTCCCTGCAGAGAGCAGTGACTCACGGCTCCCTGCAGGGATTCCCCCTCTCCCTGCTCCTCCAGCGCTGACTTGCGGAATGGATGGGGAGGGGGTGGGCACAGGTGGCTCTGCCTCTAGATAGGCAGAGCCAGCTGTCAATCACGCAGCTGGGTGAATCTCAACAGTAATGTCTGGATCCGTTCCTGTTTCGGCAGTCCCAGTATACCGTGAGCTGTAGCTCGCGATATACTGAGCTTTGGGTCACAGGAGGACGCTAGTTTATGTCCTTCCGTGACCCTGAGGAGAACTATGGGGAAAAAAACACCCCCCTAGTTCTCTTTTAACAGACTGATTATGGTGATGACCCATAAGGCATCTATTTCTAGCCGCAATCAGGAAACTGGCTTCAAAATAGTCTTGTGCTGGTACCAGGTACCAACAACTTTACAAAATCTTTCCACAATGCTCACTTCTATGTTCGAGATGCCATGTTACACGTGTTTTGGACTTGTCTGGCCCAGTACGTCTTTTGGGACAGGGTCCAAGCTCTAATTTTGTACACAAACTGGGAAATGACTCCTCCCTCTCCCCTTCTCCCCTCAATGTTCCCAAAGCTTGCATCCCTCTCCTAAAAACAGACCTCTCCTCCTAAAAGTTTATGGCTTGCCAAAGTGAATGAAATGTGGCAGATGGAAGAGATTGTAGCGTCTGCACATCATAGAGGTTCCTGGTTTTACTGGGTGGATTTTATAGTCGCAGGACTATCCGTGCCTTCTTAGGATACCCAGGACTTTTTTTTTTTAAATTTCCCCTGGCCCTCGTCCTTCAATCCCCTAACCACCCCTTACACACGTTCTGCTGTCTTATCTATCTATTTTGTATTCCTTCCTGCTTGGTGCATTAAGGGCCCATTCACACCATGTCTGGATCTTCTCCAGACCAGATTGTTTCCGGACTCAAAATGCATCCTAATTAGAGGTGCACCGAAATGCAAATTTCATAACGGGGGAAAAAAAAAGTATGGGCCAAAACCGAAATTCTTTTTATTTTTACTTTTTAAATATTTTTATAATGTAGCGCTCACCCCCTAAGGAGCCGCTGAATAACCGGATATTTCTATCCCCCTGCACCAATGTACCGCCCAAATCTTGGATCCACAGTACACCAACACACCTTTGAACAGTTTTATAGCAGATTTAATAATAGCACAATATACAAAGCAACTATGGCAATAGTATACCCAACAATCACACAAAGGGATATAAGGCAGCAGGCTAAGGCAATCTACAACTCAGTAGCTGCAGATATATATAT